CTTACCCTCTCCTGCCTCCCCCCACCCCCTTCCCCTCTGGTCATCACCATGCCGCTGTCTGAATCGGAGTTGTTTTTTCTGCTTAGTGGCTCCACCTTTCCCACCCAGCCCCACACAGCTCTCTTTCCTTGAGAGGCTCACCCTTCAGGGACACCCTGGGAGGGGTCGGGACGATGGTCACCTCCGGAGCCAGCCTGCACTGCAGACAACTTCCCTGAAGGCCCCCACACAGGCGGGACACCCGGTTCAAACAGGGCGCTCCCAAGGGCCTTGCTGGAGAGGCCCGAGGAGGAACCGTGCACCCCAGTCACAGAGGGGACACTGAGGCCCAACCTCACCTCCCGCAGGGCCACCTCCGGCAAACAGCTGGACAAGCGGATGGGGAACAGGGTGGAAGGGGGGCCCGATGTGCTCTGTCCAGACTTTCGCGAAGGCGGCTCGCACATGCTTGTACACGAACACGCAAACACACGCACCATCAGGAAGGCGACATGTCCTCACATGGGTGCAGCGAGCCTCCTGCCCGGCTCCGCAGAAAAGCGAGCATTTCCCGCCTCCGAAGAAGCCGAACTACACTGAGCCGCGAGGCCTGGGACAGAAAGCTGCGCCGAATCCGCAGCCAGCCAGCCTGCGCGGGGCTGTCGGGATCTAATTAAAAGAAAAGTCAGCGGTGGAAATCCAGGCTCATTCCTCCAGAGGCATCAAGTCTGTCTCCAGGCCCAGAGGGCTTTGCACAAGACCTGCGCGAACCCGCCAAGCCCAGAGGTAAGGCGGCGGGGGGAAGGGCAGCAGCCCAGCCCCTCGTTCCTTGGCTCTCTCGGGGCTCCCCAGGCCCCCTCCCCATGCCAGGAGCCTGCTCCCAGGAGTCAGGTCTTGGGAGTCCTGGCTGGGCCTCCTGGACACACGCCGGCATCGTGGGTGTCCGAGGGGGGCTGAGGGAGCTGAGCACAGCATCCCCAGTGGGGGCAGCTGGCGGCGAGGCCCCGCCCTCGATGCCCACTGGGCTCGGTGCTGACAAGCCACACAGCTTATTTTGTTTTCCAAACGCGGTATTCGATTGCCCTGAAAGGACCTCAGAAACTGCCAGGGGAGGCTGTTACCTCAACAGGTGAAATGCTGCCCACCCGGCACCCCAACCCAGGTCACGGCTTCTCATTTCTCGCCTCCAGCTGCCTCCTCTAATCCCTGGCCGGTCTTGGGGGCCCAGGGGTGGGGGCTTTAAAAAGGTCCTATGGATGTGCAGTGGTAGTTAAAGGGAGCGGGGGGGAGTTTGCTAAGGAACAGGATATTCAGAAATTCTCCAAGAATCACCGGCAGGTGACCTAGTCATTACAAAGGGAATCTGGTACCTTTATGACGGAGAGACCTGGCGGGCCCGCCTTAACCCAGTGATCAAGGGTAG